TCTTAACTTTTCAATCACTGTGTTGATTTTAAATACACCAGAAAATCAAGACTTCTGTTGTTTCAACAGCAATGGAGATGATGTCAGCAATTTGCAAACATTTGAGTGAAGCAGCAGGAAAGATATTATCAGGCTGCACTGCTAAACTATTTCAGGAGAGGCTAGAAAGAACCCTCCCTACTGCCTCCGTTTCTCTAACTTAAAAAGAAAAGCAGAGGGACACTGTCCACCTGAAAGAGGAAGACAAAAATAACAGAAACGAGGTAAAACCAAAATATATTCATTAGCATTTATGAGGTGAACGTTTATGGTTCATTCATTCTCTATTAGTTCTTTCACTGAATGTGACCTTTCAGGTTGATACTTTATGGTATAATTTTTTTGAGTAGTCTCATTACTTGATTTTTTTAAAATAACAAAGTTTTCTATCTGTGGGCTGGAGGTCAAACGTCACACAATGAACACAAATTTAATGTAAAACAAAAGAGACATTATGTAATGTGAAAACTAATCACTGGATTAAAAATTCTGATTCCAACATCACATTTTGCTGGTTTCTTAACCTATAAAGAGTGTTAATGAGACTTATTAAACTAGTAAGTTTTCTAAATATAATCAGAATATAATCACAATAACCACAAATACTGTATCCTTCAACACTCTTTCTGATAATACATTTAAAATTAATACTAAATAGATAAGTATCTGCCATAGCAGGCAGTTCAGATCAGCAAGTGTTGTTGTAATAACAGTCTACTTGATTAACATTTTAACCAGCTTTCCAATGTTTGACAGGTGCTTAAATTTCTTTTTCACTCAAAGCATTGTCTTTAGTCTTCCTTCAATTTATCTCTACTCAATTTTCTTGAACCAAGGGCACGCTTTATCCTTCTTTCTCATTTCCATTTCTTAAACTTTCACCTGTAAACCCTGTACTCAACTTACGGAACTTTCTTCCAAAGCTATCTCCTCAAACCTAACATGCACTCTGTTAAAAGCAACCACCGAGGCACCACTGTGTCAACTTTTCTTATGCCTTCTGTATTCAAACTAGAAAATTTTAATAACAAAAAGTATTGAATGAAACAAAGTATATATTTTGTTTGATATTAATGCTGACATTTTTAATAGTATCAGGTAAATTTCTAAATAATTAAATATAGCTATTTACTATTGTTTTTTACTTAGAATTCATGAGACAAGCTAGTGAACAAATGCATAGTTTTGATGACTACTCCAATGTCTCTCCAAGAACTTAAATACTGAAATTGAAGGAAAACAGTCTATTTATCTTATTTCCCAGTAAATGCACACCTGGCATTACAGAGATAATGATGCTTATGTAAAATAGGAAGTAATATCAATAAAAGAAAACTATCACATCCTCTGGCCTATCTTGTGAGTAATTTTCTGCCTTATTCTAGAGAGAGTTCTTTGGAGAAGTTTCTCTCGCTCATTCAATTCTCATTTATTGGTTCATCCATTCTTTTAAAAAATTTATTCCTTTAACTCAGATTCCCACCCTCACTCGCTCAATCAATCAGTCAATCGATTACTAAGCCTATAAAAATGTGTCGGCCCCAGGCCCTAGAGATACACAGATAAGCAGCAGAGTTACTGATCCTCAAGGGCAGGAGCTTGACAGCCTGCAGGGAGGCATCCGTGCAAGGAAGCTACTACAACATGGTGTAACCGCCAAGGGAAAAGGCAATGGGGAAAGAAGAAAGGAGGTCAGGCAAAACCACACAGGAAAACTTTATGTACAAGTTACATTTGAAAGGAAAAGAATGAGTTTGTTTGGTAAAGAACAGGGAAAGAGGTATTTCAGAAAGAGGAAACATCATCTACAAAAGCATGAAAATTCATGGAACCTCTAGTAGAACTTGCATTGATAGAGTTAGAAAAAAATATCTGATGATCAATAATCCTTGAGAGATGAACCCAGGTCTGTTTATGAGGCTTTTGAGTCACAATTCCTTATACATAAGTAAATATTTGCTTCACTGTCACCAACAATACCAAGTTTCACTTAAACTAAGAGATATTCAAGGAAAGATATGTATCTTTTCAACCCAGGACCCTTGCTTAAATATAGTAACTGCCCATTAATACATGAATGAGATCATTACTAGAAAAAGGAAAAAATACAAAACAGCAAAAGAAATCAGAAAGAAAAATATTTAAGTAAGTCACAAAATACAGATTCTCTAATATCATTCATGTGTAGATGAAATACTTCAATCTGGAACCCCAATTGTTTGTACACACTAAGTCTAGCATAATTCAAAAGAAAAGATTTGACATACAGGCTTATTTTTCTAAAACTATTTCTCATTTTTTGTTTTAATGCTTACCTGTTATATATGTTGTAGAATATAAGATAGGAATTTAAAAAAAAATCCAAACTTTGAAACTCTGAGTTCTTCTAAATAGAATGACTATGTCTAGAAATAATTTGTGTAGAGTTCCTTAGAATTCCTATCAACTGAGGCTGATTGGCAGTATAGCTAGAATTCTCACAAAATGTTCCCTTAAAATCCTGTTTGGGCAGTGGCCTTAAAAATTTGGCAGTAGCTAAGTAAATCTAGTAAGCTTGCAAATACATATTTGGTACATTAATTTGCTTAAAATTTTTTATTTTTCAAATATTTACACAGTCTGTTACCATTTTACCTATAAAATTAACAAGATAAACTATCTTTTCATTAAAAGTTCACTGTTGAAAAACTCTGTACTTCACTTTTTATTGGTTCCTGTATTTTGCCATACTAACAAATTAAATGGTAATTTGAATTTTTAAAAGATCTAAATTATCAAAAATATTTAAGACATTATTACACTTCCAAATTTGGGATTTTTGGCTACTGTGAACTCTTAATAAATAATTATTTTACAAACAAATTTGAGTTCCTACTTAAGGAGAGAAAATATTTATTAGCACATCTGCATTTCAAAGCTCTTATTTTGAGAACTCTTCTACATAACTAAACAGATTAAAGTAACATTGTTATACAGTCTGCACATTTTTATATTCATTTCCTTAGTAAGAATTATTTTCCATATTTACCTAGAACTATAAGCTTTCTATTTCATCAGGGAATGAAAACGAATTTTACCAATATGAGGAATCACACTTTTTTGGAAAGTACAGCATATAATGTGTTTTGCTTTATAGCTCTTTTCGAAACTGGAAACTATATAGAGTGAAGAAAAAGTGGAATCTATTTTCCTTTCCCAACTCTAAGACCTTCTATCTGGGCCAGACTTTGATATTTGCCCCTTGGCTGAGGATCCGCGTATCCAACTTCACACTTAGCTGCAGTGAAGTAGCCCTGCAGGCAGGCCGACTTCAACGAACCACTAGTGGTAGCATCATTAAAATCCTGCTGAAGGTCACCATGGTAACCGCCTGCTGAGGCTTCGCTGCTGCACTCGCATCTCCTAATCAGCTACCATGTGAAATGCAAATGCAGACAGTCTGAAAATTAGTCAAGAAGAATAGGGGATGAGGATGCAGATATGTGAAATATTCATGCGCTTCATGGAAAAAAGAAGACAGCATGAATGACACAACAAAGAAAGGCCCCTGACATTCTGGCTATCATTTTGCATTATTGTTCACACCCTACTGTATTTCCAGGCCTACGGTTCTGAAGTTGGTTTTGTGAAATGCCATATTTATAGTCTATACCCAAAATAGTAATTAAAAATGGCTAACGTAATAGTATTAACATCAAATAAAGATAATACTTTTAAATTATCATCACTGCTGTGTAAGAGTTTATTCTAATTACCTGAATACAAATGCTATGGAGCAAAAAACAGGCATCACTGATTATCAGTATCAAAACTACCAGAAGAAAAAGTGCCTATTAAATTCTAGGAACACAAATGCTTTACATGTGGTGAAAATTCTTTAGAGATATTTATTATTCAAGTTACACGAACTCAAATTTCCTTACATAATACTAAGACCCAATGCTATTCATTTCACAATAGAAAGACTGACATGATTACCTAATAAGTGAACATTATAATTGTTTTATATTTTTCCTTTTCTCCTTTCCATTTTCCTGGGGCAAAAAATCTGTTGCTCATGAGAAGGTGGGATGTCCTAACTCAAGACACTATTTTCTCTGGGTAGGTCCCCGATGAGTGTTCCATAAAGAGCTTATACGAAACATTTTAGCTGACCTGAGATACTGCTACTCTGCATACCTCCTCCTTCACCATTGGTAAAATCATGATGTATTAGGCTAAAATGGGAGATGTTTTGTTCAATGAAAGAATGGACACTGGGTAGAGCCAAAACAACTCATTTCAATGGGTTACTAAAGCAAGCAAGCATTCAGACTCAGATCTTAATAAGGTAGCCTTCTAAGATTTTCAGCCACAGCTAACACACTTTTTAAACATGTCTACAATGATAACCTCAAAACATTTCCCTAGTGGAATCTGAGTATAGCAGTGAGGTGATGATAGGACAGGTATTGTCAAAGGAGGGAAGGTAAAGCTTAAAGAATGAGGTTCAGAGATAGGTAGTTAAGAGATGCACGTTTCGAGTTTTGGAAAACATGGATGAATGGGAAGTTCTGCCAAAATAGCAAGTTACAACGGTGTGTGCATCTGGGACTGTGAAAATAAGGAGTTAGCCCTGTTAAGAGGGGCCATCGAATATGATGATTAACTAGAGCCTAGGTATGAGCACTAATTCTGCCCTTTGCATCGTTCAGTACACTGTAGAGTCAGCTACTATTCTTCACACACCTAGGAAGTGGCCAATTTTATACCACAAGTTGGGTTGTGTTCCACTACACATTATGAATTGCGGTCAACTCTTTAGACAGCAAGTCTCCAAGTGAATGAAAAGAGAATAAAAAGTGCTAGTTCTGCCACCTATGCCATTCATTTAAATTTCCGGATAAAGTAAAATTTCTTAATAAGATAAAAATGTTAGCAAAATGAATGACGGACAAACATGTGAACTGAAAAAGACTTACTTCTTCTGAATAGTGATCTGAAGGAAGAGGTGGGTAGTCACACTGTTCTATCTTCTTACACAGCGAGTATAAATTCATTTTGTCACCATAGAAAGGACTCTGTAATGCAGCCATCTGTAAAATGTCCCCAATGAAACTGATATAGTTACATGGTAACTTAAAAGGTGATTTCGTCAAGTATATTATACTGGGGTAGAAAATAATTAAAAATATTCCAAATAAAGTTATCTGGGCATTTTGATTTTTATGAATATCCCTTTCTGGGGATATTTGCTAAGAGTTAAAAATCTTACTGCAACTTTTGGTTATTTTTTTTTCAACATTTTAAAATTCACTAAAATTGAGAAATAGCATATTTCTTTACATACAAATCAACATAAAACATTAAGAAAATAACATATAATTTTAAAACTCTTTGTACCTGTAATGACATAAAAACAACTGGTATATCCAACAACAAAATCGTCATTACACCGTACAGCTCAACCATATAAAACAAACATGAAACTGAAGTTAAAACTGAATTGAAATCTAGCATAGGGAAGAGAATGCAGAGCATTTTCTCTTGTATATTAGTTTCTGAGTAAAGGTTGTTCTGAGAAGAAAACAAAGTCTTCTCAATTTAAATATAATAACTGATCCCCAAATAGTGTACAATCAATTAGAACTCTTTTCTTTTGACAATGTCTCAAAAACATTAAAAATGTTCAAAAGCTCTACGAATCATAGCTGTAATTCAAGGCTTCCAAATGAGATTTTTATGCAGAAAAACATGACTCGAAGGATGAGCAACTTTAAAAAAGACATTATTGAATTTAAATGTATTTTAAGACAAGGTTCTAACTTGACATTTAAAGTGCAAGCGAGTACTGTGGTAAGCAGGGTTACAAACTAAAAATTCAATTTAAAATGTTCGCATCCTGTTCAAAAGCTTCTAAATCTTTGAACCGCAGCAGCAAGAATACAACACGGAGTGCCAGGCTGCCCCAAAGTCAGTCACCCTTTTCTACATGTGCTAATAAGTTTGATTTTGGAAGGACAATGTGTACATTCCCCAGACAGGCAGAGTGTGTGTGAAACACGCTGGTCCATGCTGTGCTACTCAGTGAGCGTCAGTGGGGACAGGACAAGCTGAAAATGGCTCTCATCTGTCTTCTGTGCTCCAGACAGAGCTTTAACTCCTTCAGAGCCTTGATGAGAAGGGGATGGGTTTGGAAATCAAAACTGGAAAGTAGCTCGACAAATTTTTATCTTGCCTATGCTTTAAATAAAACGTGCACACACCTATATAGCAGTACCTTGGGAAGAGTTGTTTCACATGAAGAGAAAAAAATTACAAACAATTTGAATGCTCTTAATCATATAAAATGCTCTGAGAGGAAATTTCCAAAAGAACTGCAATAATAATAATAATAACTTTTGTTTCAAATGCAAGGGCACTTTATGATAAATGTTACCTTAAAGATACAACTGTATATATAAACTATAGTCTCTCTGTGTTTGCAAAACCTTAGGTAAATGTACATACATTCATTATCATATGCTAGGCATTCATTACAATCCTTTTTCTCAGTACTGCAGAGTGTTAAAAAAAAAATCTCAATGTCCCCTAAGGAGTTAAACAGGAATAGTATATTTTCATGCATCTCCTGCTTTGACAGATGAAAAATGTCAACTGTCCTGTTTTTATTTTCAAGCTTTTGCACTATTCATCTGGTTCATTAGTGCATCTCGATGCCGCCCCTGACAGCTGCTCGCCCTCTCCTCCCAGCAGCTGAATTTTTCAGGCTAATTTGATCCTCCACACTGAGACGATCGCTAGAATGATTGACTTACTCCCTGACCTCCAGGGTCTGACTTTCCTGATTAGTATTCTGGGGGTGTCGGAGGGACGAAAGCCCACTGTCTGTCTTCGGGGCTGGTGGCAGCTCTCTTTTTTTCTGAACTGTAAGCCACCAACCTACAACCCTGTAAGGATGCAATTGCCGCGCTGAACAATAAAGGAAACGTGTAAAACCTACTTTTCCATGTAAAGGGCCATGTAGCAAAAGCACAGCATCTTGATTTTAATTAGTAAAGTCTACTTTGTTGCATATCAATTAAAATTGTACCGCTAGTTTTTTTTTTTTTTTTTGAGGTTTCAGGAATATTTGAAAGTCTAATTTTCTGAGTTTAAACTACATTTTCAAAAAAGGCTTCCTACGTCTTCATTGTTAATAGTAACTTTTTAGTGGGATACAATATAAAATATCTGCGTGACATTATGACCAATTTTTTAAAGTCAAACTGCTAGGTATTTCTATTAACATTACATTGAAATATAACTGAAAAGAGACAGAAAATAAAGTTACATTAAATCTTTAGAAAAATTCTAGTTCTTCTAAAAGACTGGCATGGAGAAATCAAGAAAATGCATTGGTGTGAAAACTCGTGTTAGCATGATAGATACTTAACTCAAAATCATCCACAATACATATAACTCATGGATGCAGGAATGTCCAAAGACGTAATTTTTATTTCCACGGCATTTTAAGCTCACATGAAAATGGGACATTGCCTCTCAAAGGCAAATTCAAAATGTGATAAATTATTTCAGTTTTGACATGAGTCTGCTAGACCTAAAAGAATAATGCAAACTTCCTCTCAAAAACCACTTATTATCTCAACACAACTTTTTCTTTTTTATTGCTAAATTTAATGTAGTTATTGGAAACCAATTTGTTGTTTACTTTTAGGGATTTAAAGAGAAAATGTTGCTTGGATAATATTAGACTATGGCCTAAAGGAATCTAAGGTTAACAGATATAAAATATTTTAAATGTACAGAGTAACTAACTTTTAAACATTATAGTAACAACATAATCAAACCAGTTCTTTTTAGCATTGTAACAAATTATTAACAAAACAGAACACAGTGAGCATAATCTCGTGTAATCTCATAGGCACACATAAAAACATGTTTTGTTACATGACTCATAATTCTTCACAATAAAAATAATCCAAAGTACGAGTTTATTTAAGAATATTTAAAAATCTTTTCATTTTAAGTAGTTGTTAACCACTTTGGTAAGAAGGACAAAATAAATAATTTCCAGTTTCTCAAGGAAATCTGAATCTGCTATCAAAATAATAAAAGAACATGACATGCATTCTTAAAAAGTCAAACAACACCTCCTAATGCTCTACTTCAAGTAACGGTGGCACAATTAAAAGAGATGACTCCATCATATATTTCATTTAAGTCAGGAGGACAAGAGACACGAAATATAATAGTAAGAAATGCATTGGCATCTATCCATCCTCTTTAGACTTCTCTTATGTACACAAAGGTACGAAAATGATGTCCACACAGGGATATGAAAATGCTTCCATGTATTATATTTCCTCACTTTATTAAAACCTACTTAGATATAGACTAATTTTTAATTAACAGCTTTGACTCAAAGCCTATATTTGAAGCCTATATTCCTAGGAAAATTATCATTCAATTAAAACAAAATTACAGAAGTCACTAGCTTGAGATACTTTTTTACCATTGCTCTATAACATAGATATAAAATGTGTTGCTAATATGCTTTCTTCTATCCATCCAAATTACTACAGTCCAACATTTGTAGAGGACCTACCTACCTGATTCCATCTTCCTTTGATAAATGATCACCAGTGGAACAAAAGAAAGAGTATTTCACTGAGCTTTACCAATACAAATTGTCACTCATGGAAACTAAATTGATAACCTTGAAGGACTATCTGTTTGCGTAGTATCCTTAATGCTAAATTACACCTGTGTAAAAGTGAAATACAATATTGATAAAGATATTTACTATACTTTCATATGTATTAAATCCAATCCATTATACCTCTCCTTTAATTCATGGATCAAGATCTACAGATGTTCAAATGTGCATTTTTACAAATGCAAGATATACAAAAAAGCATTATATAAACATAAAAGTTAATGTTTTAAAAATAAACTTCTCATCAAAAGAACACAATTTAAAAATATATTACATAGGAATGTATAGTTATTAAATTCCATTATACAAAGTTTTAACTCGATTAATAATTCTTCATAATTAAAAAGCTGTTTAATTCAGAAAAAAATAAGTACATACTATAACGATAGAGGAAATAGAGTAAGTAAAACTGCATCAGTATTTGGAATTTATCAACATTACCTACCTCATATAGTAGACAGCCAAGAGACCAGATGTCAGATTTGAAGTTGTATCCATTTTCATGTATTCTCTCTGGAGACATGTAATAAGGTGTACCAACTGCAAAAAAAAAAAAAAAAAAAAAAAAACCAAATAAAATAAGAGGTGTATAAAAATAAAGACGTGGCTGTGGTAAGAAATTACATACAAAATTTCGAATTTAAAAGCATCACCAAATTAATTCATTAGGATCAGAAAACTGTTTTTTGAGCATATTAAAAAGTTTTTAATTTCTTCTTTATTCCCTGACCTTTAAATAGTACATTAACATCTGTACTAAACAATGTGGTGGGTTAAACTTTTATTACCTTTTCATCAATCCAAGAAAAATTTGGAAAGCACAACTAAGGGGAAAAAAGTAATTCTGATAAGAATACCTACTTAAATGATTCACATTGGCTTTATTTTTTAAAAAAAAAACATGGATTGCATACCCCAAATAATTAAGATAATTTATTTTAAAATAAACAGCATTATATAACAATTTAATAGAGTATGCATAAATAAATCATATTTGTTAACTTTCACAGAAACATCCCATAGAACGCAGTGTGACTCTTAACAAATGATGTAACACTTACTTCCACTTTAGAAAGAACACCACAGACTTTTATACATCAAAGGGTTACCTAGTAACAAATGTGAAAGGGCACTGGCATCTCTGGAAAAATATCTTGAGTTATTGTTACTACTGAGACGTTTTTGGAGGCAAGACACTCAAGATAATTTTTGTTTTTGTTTGTTTGATGTGCTAATACTTTTTTTGTGTGTGACTGTTTTAGAAAATGCTATTTATTAAACACTTGAAAATAAACAAAGGCATATATGTTATATTTTGAAGTATAAAAATAATTTTAATTTCAAAGTGAAGTGTCTTTAATTTCAAACTTAGATGGTTATTTCATCATCATTAGTCTAAGGCTTTTTGCCAAATAGAAAAATCAAAGTATGAGAACATTTTAGAATCTTATTTACCTGAGAAAAGGGCTACTAAAAATTGTTGTTACTCAAAGAGAAAAGGGCATTCCCCTTTTTCTATTAATTTTCAAGAATTCTCCAGGTGTTTACTATAAACCTTAATAAGACTAACAATAATGAACAGGGGTCTGTAATCAGAAGCAACAAAAAAATTCACACCAATAATCAAAGCACTATACTCAAAGGCAGGAGTCAGTTTTCCAGAAGAATAAAGTTATAACCTAATAATTGCGTGTGGAAACTCTAGTAAGCAAAAGGGGAAAACATCATGCACCATGACCCATGATACCCTACCTGCATCAGAATCCATTTTTACTAGTAAGGAATAGCCCTAGTCAGACTGGATGAAAGAAAAGCATTTACAAAGTGATGAAGAAAAGACATACGTATAAAAAGAGTATCCAAACAGAAGGATATGAAACAAATAAAATATGAACTATTAATGTGTGAAAATTAATGAGACAAACTTTAAGATGTAAATTATTTAACTGCACCACATTTGCTTTCAAGACAAACAGGTAAATATGCCAATTTCTGTAGTGTCAGAAAAGCAAAGAACTTTGGAAAACAGCTAGGTTTAAAATATCTATATTATTACTGTGTAAAATAAACACAAGCCATCTTGCTTTGGGAGTTCTAACCACTTTCACCTGTAGTTTGCGTAAGTGACACCAATTATTGGAAATATTTACACACTCTCTCCATTTAAGGAAGGATGGTAGGTATAGCTGGAATAATAAACGGGCTCTCCTCCTGGTTTCAGGACATAAAGCAAGTGACTGGCAGTGAGGAATGTGCAGAGAGAGGCTTCACAGAATCCACAGGGGGGCAACTGAAAACACTGAGGCTTGAAGGTTCAGAGTTTACCAAAAGCAAAGGTAATTTTAACCAGTAGCTCTGGGAAACCTGCTGATACATTAGGGGTTTGATATGAGTGTGAAAGATTGATGATAAGGAAAAAGAAGAACAAATGCTAGCATTTTACAGAGATTAGCCCCAGCATAGCACCTTAGCTGCAACACAAACTGAACTCACGGACGACCCAACCGAAGGGAGCAGAGGAAAAGAATGATTAGGAATTTGACTAAGCTAAACCTAAAATGTAAAAAATGTTAATGTACAAAAATCCTTTTTCAGTGAGCTACTGGAGGTCACTGCAAAAAGTTACACAGTCAGTTAACACTGCTACTTTAAATTTAGATACTGATTCTTAATATTATAAATAATAAGCCTCTTTATATTAAATAAGCATATTTTATTTCAATATTTAAACTGCAATATATTCGTTACTATGTATATTTAAATGTAAAGCTAAGGATGCTACTCACCTCTTTGATCAACAAATTTCCAAGAGTCATTATATAAGAAGATAAGTTTGTACTCTGCACTATAATTCTTAATTGCATAAATTCATGATTGACTGTGGAACACAGGCCTAAGAGGGAGGTTCTACTGTCTCCAGACATGCTCCCTCATAGGCCCTTCCGTTCTGGACAGGGGCTCTTACGCTGACACTGAGCAAAGAGGCTCAGCCCCATCACGTAAACTGATTCGTTCTTACCTGTCCAGCAGAGATGCCTAAAAGTTTTAAATACTCAGGAAAATTTGCAGTAATTTAAATGCAGCGATATGTTTTCAACACTTCAAAATGAATGAAGATAGAATTATTTCAAAAAAACCTTCTCAAAGATTCATGACAGCTGTGTCTATGATTACTGTTGCCTCAAGAATGTTGTGACTTCTAACAGCTGTACAAGAAAAGAGAGTTATGGAGTGGTATGACTAGACATTAAAATGATCATGTGAATTACTGTCCAATGTACTGAGAAGCTTGAAGACTACAGCACATGTAATTCCACTGATCTTTCAAGAATTTATGATTGTAGGTAAAATGAGAATATATTTTGCAATAGCAGATACTTATGCCACCTTAACCTTCTGACATGAATAAAAGTAGGAAATGGATGATAACATTATAAAAAACAGAGGCTGACAATAAAGGCTGACCTTTCTTTATTCAATAATAAAAATAAATTAACATATACTAAGGCAGACATCCATATGTAAAAATCCCTTTCATTACATTGACTTATTTTAGCTATATGAGAAAAGTTTTATATGGTATATACTCCATAAACAATAAATATATTCTAATCTTTATCCTGAATAAAACTGAAGTTCTGCAATATGTTTCAGAGAACCAAGTTCTGCTCACATGGTGCTATTATGGAAGATATAACTAAATTAATTTTCATCAGAACAGAATACATACAGAATTGTTTCAATAGTTTAGCTAACATTTTAGCACTGTAATCTCTGCAAAGATTTGGATGAAAAAAGAAAACAGAATGACTGAAGCATCCTCATATGTGGTTAGCTTTGGTTTTTTTTTTTTAATGTGCTTTTTAAACAACGGAGGCAGCACAACACCAGTGAAAGACAAATCTCTCTCACATCTTACATGTGCCACTAGCTAGTTTAACTTCTCTTTTTAATTCCTTTCCTCATCTGTAAGATGAAGTGATGAGAAAGATGAGCTCATCTCTGAGGTCCCTTTTGCTTTAAAATTCTGAAGCACTCATAGAAACTCTACAAAAATCCATCTGGAAAATAAAATGGAAAAAAACAGTCCTTTTAAAACTATTACTAAGGACAGATGAGTGAGAGTGTTTTAAGTCAGAGAATACAAATAAATGAACTGAGTTTAGAAATATAGTTTCTTTTACTAAGAATTAGAGCAAACTACAGAAAAGAAAGCTTTGAACATCCTTGCTGGGAAAATTAAAAGGAGACAAGTCATCTTACACCTCAGTTTGATATAAACACACACACATGCACACACCCCTTCAGGGAATAGGACTTAATTTCCATTCTTTCCTTCGTACTCATGAGTCAGCTCAGAAATTATGTTGGCAGACAGAAGAGAGAGAGGCCAAATTTACTTCATTGTAAGGAGTATTATCTGAGGTCAATATAGAATGGCTGAGTAGGAGATCAATATTTCTTCTGCAAAAGACATTTATAAAATAAAATTTGTCGTCTTTGAAGTGCAACCAATAGTATTTAAGAGCTTTAATAATGCTGAAAAAAAACACCTAAGCATATTTAATTGTTATCGTTAATGTGCTCCAGGCCCTGTATTAAATGTATTCTATGTATTATCTTGCTGAATTTAACAAAAGTTTAACATGCCCTGCTGCATGGCATACACAGTTCTAGGTCTGGAGGTGACAAAAATAAACAGGACAAATCCTTGATCTTGCAGAGCTCACAGTCCAGTGTATTATAAGGTGGTTTTATGAGATTTTTCAATTATTATACTGCTTTAGAGAGAAGGCATCGGGAAGTAGGTTGGATAACTTGCCAAAAATCATAAAACTAGTAAGCCTGTAGACCCGGACTTCAAACCCAGATAGTTCTTGTCTCCTGCATTTAAGCGGATGGTTATTTCATTAAAACTGACCACTGTGAAATACAACTGAAAAAAAAATCTGTATCTTTCCAAATTAAGAAGCAGAGAAATATTCTAAAAGTCACAGCATGTACATATGAAAAACCAGGAATAAGGGTCCAGGTTCAATGGGCCACATGTGAAAATTATGCTACTCTGCAGCTACACTGATTTAAACAAATACTTGTTAGGGTGAGTGGGAGGTTAAACGTGCACAGTTTAAAATTAGATATCAGCTTTGTACCAGAGCAATTACTTAAGTCAAGAAGGGACTGAAAGTTAAAAATAAATCAGTGAAAGCAGCCTATAGTACTGACTGAACATATGCTGCCTTTACAGCTCTAAACCACCCTGAACAACGAAGGGGTATAAACCAAACAAAGATCTATCGAGAGGTGCTAGGAAAGGTGTGGGAAAAACAAACATGTGACCACAGGTGGCACCTGGCACCAAAAATGAAACTGTTTTAATGCCTGGTTCAAGAACACTAATTTTCTAAGTTGAAATCAGAGGATATATCACACTTGGAAATAGTGTGGGGAACATGAATTGTACACTCAAGAGACTCTAGTGTGAAAATTCTGATACCTAGCTTGAATGATGGCCATGCATTTACTCTGCTGGCAATATC